TTAAGAATTTAACCATTTGATTTTGATACATGCCTACTACTGTAAAAATAAAAAGTGTAGAATAATAACCCCTCACTATCAGTTTATTACCATAGGATAAATCTTTTTCTGTTGATGAGTATAATCTACCCTTTCATAAACATTTGCAAGGTTTCATGACCCGTTGTAAATTCATATACCCTTATAATGTTTTTTTTTTGTGTTTATAAATCTTCTTTTTAGATATATGAACGAAATAGGTTTACAAACTCTTGCAAATATTTATGAATAGAAAGAGTTTAAGAAAGAATAGATTACAATCATAAATCTAACAAAAGTTTATGTTATGGTAATAAACAAATAGTGAAGGTTTATTATTCTATACTTGTTCTTCTTTTTTTACATTGATTGACAATCATGATTGTTTCATGTATCCTATTGATTTTTTGATCAGATCAATTTCACAAGAACCAACTGTAATAATAGTTAACATCGAATTATTGATAAACTCAAGCATTTGCTAGTGAAAATATAATCTTCATCAGATTGTGTCAATCATATATTCTTATCATCTAAAGTACAAAAAGAAAAACTGTACTGCGTGATATTGTTAGATCAATTGAATTATTCACAATAATATATACAATAAGAAGAAGAAGAAGAAGAACAAATGAAAAATGTTGTTCTATTATTATTAAGAGTGTTATATATCATCATACTGTAATAAAATAGGAAGAAAATGAAAGCATAAAAAAAATTAGTTATTATTTTGTTATGATATTTAAATTTGAATCACTATGAAATTTATTTGTTCCAAAAAGATGTGAAAGCAATGGCGTTTCATTATTCATTAATATTCCTATCTGTTTTATTCTACTATTTTTATTTGTTGTTATATGTTTTCGTAGTTGTTGATAATTATTTTCACATGTAATTGTTTGCGTAGTAAAATGATTTTGAAATTTATTATTTATTAATGGTGAAATATTGTTAGATGATGGATAAATGCAATTCATACTTGTATTAATTGGTAATGAATTCATGGACTTTGAAAAATCATTATCAGACAATTCATCAGAAAGATCAATTTTTGAAAATTCTTTAATAAAAGAAAACAAAAAAAAAACAAATTAAAAAATAAATAAATTGAAAATTACCAAGATTAGGTAATTCAATAAATTCATCGGATTTTTCAGCACCGATAGTTGGTTCACGTAGAGGAAGTTTTATTAGAATTTCATTTTTACGTTTTGTATGAATCTAATGAATAACAAAAAAAAAAAAAAAGCAAATCATATTTATATTAATAAATTTTCATTATTTACTTCATCGGATATTTGTTCAAGATTATTCAATGCTGTACGATATGTTTTTTTGGCTTGAATTATTGCTTTTTGTATATCTTCAATACGACATTTTTGATTCTATTATAGAAAAATTCAGTGTTTTTTTTTGTTTCACTAATCTTTTTTTTTTGCTTTTACTTTAAGCTCATTTTCTGATTTGAATTTTGCATCAAAATAAGGTCTATAAAATAGAAATAATTGTATTATATAATTCTTTTTTTTTTTTGTTTTGTTATTGTGTCATACTTTGATTTAGTAATCATTCTTGTTAATGAACAACAAAGAATAAAACTTTATCGTTCATTAACAAGAATGATTACTAAATCAAAGTATGACACAATAACAAAACAAAAAAAAGAAAAGAATTATATAATACAATTATTTCTATTTTATAGACCTTATTTTGATGCAAAATTCAAAGCAGAAAATGAGCTTAAAGTAAAAGCAAAAAAAAAAAGATTAGTGAAACAAAAAAAAACACTGAATTTTTCTATAATAGAATCAAAAATGTCGTATTGAAGATATACAAAAAGCAATAATTCAAGCCAAAAAAACATATCGTACAGCATTGAATAATCTTGAACAAATATCCGATGAAGTAAATAATGAAAATTTATTAATATAAATATGATTTGCTTTTTTTTTTTTTTGTTATTCATTAGATTCATACAAAACGTAAAAATGAAATTCTAATAAAACTTCCTCTACGTGAACCAACTATCGGTGCTGAAAAATCCGATGAATTTATTGAATTACCTAATCTTGGTAATTTTCAATTTATTTATTTTTTAATTTGTTTTTTTTTTGTTTTCTTTTATTAAAGAATTTTCAAAAATTGATCTTTCTGATGAATTGTCTGATAATGATTTTTCAAAGTCCATGAATTCATTACCAATTAATACAAGTATGAATTGCATTTATCCATCATCTAACAATATTTCACCATTAATAAATAATAAATTTCAAAATCATTTTACTACGCAAACAATTACATGTGAAAATAATTATCAACAACTACGAAAACATATAACAACAAATAAAAATAGTAGAATAAAACAGATAGGAATATTAATGAATAATGAAACGCCATTGCTTTCACATCTTTTTGGAACAAATAAATTTCATAGTGATTCAAATTTAAATATCATAACAAAATAATAACTAATTTTTTTTATGCTTTCATTTTCTTCCTATTTTATTACAGTATGATGATATATAACACTCTTAATAATAATAGAACAACATTTTTCATTTGTTCTTCTTCTTCTTCTTCTTATTGTATATATTATTGTGAATAATTCAATTGATCTAACAATATCACGCAGTACAGTTTTTCTTTTTGTACTTTAGATGATAAGAATATATGATTGACACAATCTGATGAAGATTATATTTTCACTAGCAAATGCTTGAGTTTATCAATAATTCGATGTTAACTATTATTACAGTTGGTTCTTGTGAAATTGATCTGATCAAAAAATCAATAGGATACATGAAACAATCATGATTGTCAATCAATGTAAAAAAAGAAGAACAAGTATAGAATAATAAACCTTCACTATTTGTTTATTACCATAACATAAACTTTTGTTAGATTTATGATTGTAATCTATTCTTTCTTAAACTCTTTCTATTCATAAATATTTGCAAGAGTTTGTAAACCTATTTCGTTCATATATCTAAAAAGAAGATTTATAAACACAAAAAAAAAACATTATAAGGGTATATGAATTTACAACGGGTCATGAAACCTTGCAAATGTTTATGAAAGGGTAGATTATACTCATCAACAGAAAAAGATTTATCCTATGGTAATAAACTGATAGTGAGGGGTTATTATTCTACACTTTTTATTTTTACAGTAGTAGGCATGTATCAAAATCAAATGGTTAAATTCTTAA